CTAATGAGAAAAGAAGGGGAGCACTTGATACAGTGGTTCTGAGAGAGAAGGGAAGGGAAAAGACCAAAGACTGTACTTATAGACATATTGGTACACCTTTTGTGGAATTTATAGGGACATGTTACGTTTGGAGGGGTTTGTGAGTGGTATAAAATGAATAGTAGGCTCCTCACTGTTGCACGCAAAAGATTTTAGTGGGATTGGATATCACTGAGGAGAAGTTTATTTTGTTAACAATGTCTGTCATTCTGCTCGGATGTTGTATCCCACTGAGCTAGTTTGACCCTGACAGGCAGAGCCCACCTCCTTAATTAGCTAAATTGTGTTTATGTGGACGTAAAACATTTTACAATCACATTTGTTGCTTGTCGTACACAGTGGAAGAGGACATTCTTGTCCCCCCAAAAAGGGTCATTGAAAGAAAACGCAAACAGATGTCAACAACTAGTGATATGTGGGCAACATCTAATAATAAAACAATAGAAAGACAGTCTACAGTTTATTGGTTTAACTGTGAGCAAAATTTACATGGTTTCATAACCCGTGTCCCAGTTTTTATCTGTGTCTATCAGCTGGCTTCACAGGCACAAAATGACAGGAGAGGAGAAAAATTTGACGGATACTACAAGACCCTGGCCCAGTAGACAATCAAATATGTTCTGTGAAGTGGGTTGGGTCTCTTCCTAGCACTTTCATTTTACTCTAAAAATGCCTTTCACTTTGGTTTGATAAAACAAAACAAAAGAAGCGATTTTGCCATTAGGCTGGCTGACATTTAGGTTATCGCGACATCTCGCTCAAGTCCATGTTCCAGGCCCTGTTGACTTTATTTGATAATGTCTTGATTGCTCCGACCTGACCAGCTGTTCATCACATGGGATGCTAACATCAGTTATGCGACTGAAAGGTGACTGCAATTCCCTGAATGTAGACGTTAAATGAATTATAATAATGCTAACTTATTTTGAGTCGTATTATGAGTATAAAGGGAATTTTGAAAGTGGTAATATAAAAGTAAGTATGGTAAATATTAATATTACTGGTGATGAAGATTTACATTCTGATAATAATGATCAAATGAACTAATATTATGACAGCTCTATAGCCCACAGCACGTTTATAATGTTATTTTAGTTGCTTGAGCTATATTTACACTTGATGTCAGTGTGGTCCTATGTGCGTAATATGTCCTGGGAGCTCTGTCTACAGTTCATATGTAGTCTTTCTCCTGTTGCCTGTAATTAGCTGATAAAGATTTGATTGAAAGATAGAGAGAGTCGGCCTGTGTTGTAAGGAGAATGATAAGCGGGGAAAACAAATGATAAAAGGTTTTTAACTTTCACTTTCAAGCAGATGGATTATCATAAATGATGTACAGATAAAGTTTCCTCTTTCCCTTTCTTCTTTAACCGCAGTTCTCAAATTTGGACAGAGCTGAAGGAGTGGAGAAATTATATTTGCTAATTTATATGGTTTTGAAAGACTGTGAAGTCTTGTCAACTTAATTTCCTGTTTCAGTTGCAGTTAGTTGTTTACTGTATGAGTAGGAATATTTTCATTAGAACAACTATTCTTGTTATGTGTATATATATATGTGATTTTGATTCTTGGTTTGGGAAGATAACCAAGTATCATGGGTTAGCTCTGACAGATAAATGGGATGGAAGCTGACTGCCCTGTTCGTTTCCATTTACAATTTATGTTCTCATTTTGTTTTCCTTTATTGTTTCTGTACTATTCTGTGTGATGCATTGTCTTTACACATTCTTTCCTTTTTCCTAACTTAAACCAACAACAGGGCCTAGGGAGGGGGTTACATTTTGTCTTATTCAACAAGTGCCACATCTGAAACAGACATCTGTCTATGGTTTGCCAATAATTTCTCTGCTCAGATGCTCTAAAGAACCTATTATCATGATCTTGGTCTTTTCCTTCACCCGTCTGATTTTGTTCTCCAAGTAAGTTATTTTTGGTCTACCCCTGCCTCATTTTTCTGCTATTTTTCCAGTGAGAGCAGCTTTCATGTATTAATTATTAAAGTTTCTGTAGAACTGCAGTTGTCTCTTAATAACCAAAGTTATTTTTCATCACTGTAAAGCATTCAACTGGGAAGAAAATGAAAAACACTGACCACAATGAAGAATTATTTCGCCTTATATATGACATGATCATGCTAACGAAAAACAAAACAAAACAAAATCCCTAGGAGACTTGTTAGTGTAGAGATAAAGGGCTTGCCTCTGAAACCAGAAGTTCCTGGTTTCCCAAGACCAGGCTGGTGGACAAGGAATTTTTTCATAGGTTTGTCAGAGCCTTTATTGATTTATTGAGAACTCTCAGGTGAATGGCTGCAGGGTCAGAATTGCATAGTCATGGTCATTTAGAGAACTTTCTGGTCAACTTAAGTAATAATGAGCACTTTAAATATTGACACATGGTTGCCCAAAAGATGGCTGACATCACATTGCAGTTGCTAAAATAGGAGGATATAAGACTTTAAGATGTGGTGAACAGACTGCATTGTAGGTTGAAAAGTATGGTCTGTTGACTACCCATGGGTTCTGGCAGGGGAATGAAACAAAACAAAACAAAAAAGAAGGTAAAAATCCCCATTAAAGTCCCTAAATACTGTTGTTATTATTATATATGATAATATGTTTATAAATATTGTGTCCCTTACAATGTGATGTCCCACGCCTTTCAGGTGACCATGTGCATAAGTTGATAAAAAAAAAGTTACATTTTGGGTAGCTATGACGTTAGAGTTCTGCCCTTGCAGCAAGCCCCTCGAAAGACTTTTCATTTGATTGATACAGGCTCTAACAAACTTATGAAAAAAACTTTGCAATTGCTTACCATGATTTCTTAGTTTGAATATTCTAATTGGCTGTGTGAGAGGAGTCTTGACATCTGTTGGCAACCTGCCCTGTGCTGACCGCATACTTTTTGGGGTCATACTGAATCTGGACAATCATGCTGTTGTCAGATTACTGTTACAGAGGACTGTCATCGCTTGGGCAAGGTTCTTGACCAGCAGGTTATGTGGTCACTGCATGGTCATTCTGACTGATTAGTGCGGAAAGGTCATGTTCAAGGGCTGAACAAATATTTACCAGATAACGCACCACCAACCAGAAAAGTATTATGTCCAGTTCGGCTGACCTAGTGAGAGCCATGGCTTTGCGATACCACTTCAGCCTTTTAGCTTTCTCACAATGACAAGTCACACTTTGAAAGCAAAATTGCTTTTTGCTTACATACAGTTTGGGGGATGGGGTTGCGTTTTTTTCTTTCCGTCATGGTATCATGATGTTATTAATTTTGCTACATTCTTTGCAGCAAGGTTGGGGGTGGTGGATTGCTGGGTTAGCATGGTCTGTTTCTTCTATATTATTTTTTTAGTTGTCTGTGTTGGCCTGGTGGATTTGTGGTAAAATGTAGCCTTTATTTTGCTAACTTGGCATGTGAATTATGCTTTTACCGGTACTCAATAACAAAGCTCCATCATTTTCTTTAAGAAAGTGGTTATGATTTTGTTGTTTCTCAACTGGGATGACCCATGTCATCATATTTTCTTTTTGTTTCATGGTTGGATCTTTTCATAAGCATTAAATTTATGTACAATGTACACGTTGTACTCTGATACTTTTAATTTAATTTAAATTTCATATTGAATATTGGTGACTCGTTTCGTGACCTCAGGTACTGTTTTCAACTCTTTTAAGTTGTTTTTTATGTGTCTTTGATGGTGACCACTGTTGGGGGGACACCTGTTCCTTTTGAGCATCATTTGTTTCTTGTACTGGTCTGTGCAGGTGATGGATGGCGCCACGAGTAGGGCATATTTCTCTTCTTGCCCTCTATTATTTGTGTCCGACTGTCTTACTTTTTTCTTACACTAAATGACCCTTGTGTTGATACAGCTTGTCTTTCCTCAAACAAATTCCTAGTTCTGTTTCTGGTGAAATCAGCTCATTAGCATGCTGATTTGTGATACGATTTTCTTAAACAACTCAAAACAATTTCTTTTTATTTATGTCTGTCCACAGTGTCTTATTGCTAGTTCATTCGTCCCGGGTTTCGTCGGATGGATTCCCCCTGTGCTTGAAGCGGAAGATTTCATCAATCTCTCTGAAGGAATGATCAAGATTCCTGAAAAAGTTGTAGACAGCTCTGACTGTAGCTCGGATGATTCGGAAACGGACAAGGAAGAGGAAGAGGTTACAGATGGCTGTGTTGAGGCCCGTCCACCAAAGGTCAGAAATCTTGGGGTTTTTTTTCTGTGAATCAGAAGCTGTTTTTTAAATTCTCAGTATACATTTTTATATATGTTTATATTGTGGTTATTTCTCAATCTTAGATTGTTTGTAAAGCAGTATACATGAGTTTGACTACTGTGATACCATTGAGGACAAGTTCCTGCAGCTAGGACTATTTTTCTGTTTGGACATGATTTCATCATCAGTATTCTCTTGGTGTACAATCCCTCTCTGATACTGATTAAACCACTTCTGTACGACAACCAGCCACTTTGGTGTATCAATTACATGGATGAGACTGAAAAAACAATTTTTTAATCATCTTAATTACAGCCGAACCTGCCATGACAGCCACCTGTACAACCTGTGGTCCCTTTTCATTTCCCTTGTTGTGGGTTGTTGTTTTTTTCAGTATAATTTTACTGTGTAATAATGTTACCTATCCAATGTGGCTGGGGCTACCATATTTTATCACAAACCGACCAATAATACCTGTCTTACATGGCCACCGAAATCTTTCTTTGCCTGATGTTATTGGCCCCTGACGTGGACAAGTCGCCATAATCCAAGCACCTGTGGTTATTGTTAGGTAGTCCCTCCAACCAATCATGTTGTGTAGGCCCCTCCCACTATTAATTAATAGGAAGCAATGCATTTTCAACTGCTGGTGAGGGAAGCATGTGATCCTTTATAACCCTTAAGCCCCGCCCACAACTCATACACAAATCGTAATTGTGATGAGTGGTCACTACTTATCTCGTCTGTAACAAAGTAACAATGGACGTCTATATGAACTTGTGATAGAAGTGTTGTTTATTCTCTGAGTGTTGGCGACCCATGGGGTTTAAAAAAATTCATTTTACCATGGCGTTCGGTCTGCCTCGTTTGACACATATTTATTCCGCAGCACAAAATTAGCAAAATTAAAAAAAAAAAAAAAGACATAACAAAAAACATGCCCCCAAACAAAAACTACCACCACAAACAGAAAAACCGCGTCTTCGCCACTCCTTAAAAAAACCCTCAAAACAACAAAAACCCATTTTAATTAGCCATATGGCAGTCAAAAGCCTGGGATCACCTCTAGCTGGGACTTATAAAGGGAATGGTTTGTTTTGTTCATTTTGATCAGTCCTGTGTGTGGCGGCCTCTTGTCCTATATGGCCACTTTTCTCCTTGACAGTGGGTGGCTGTCTTACAGAGGTTCAACTAATTTATATAAATTATGAAACATTTTTTTAGTGAACATAAATATTTGTTTTTAAAGTGCCTTTAGAGTGATTTAATTTTCCATTTTAGTACATGTCTTCCTTCCTTGCGGTTATTCTGTTTCTAATTATTAGTTTCTAAGCCATAAAATTTGTATTTGTGCTTGGTTTGAGAGGGCTGTTGGTAGATCCAATCTTTCCTTTCTTCTGTTGTTTGTTTGTCCATACTACTCTTTCCTTTCTTTAAATGACTTATTTTGTCAATGTGCGTCTCTTTTCTCAAATAAAACTTAAACATTTTCCTGACCTCAAGTATTTCATCTCTCATCTTACAGGTGTGTGTGAAGAAGGACGTGGATACAGTGAAGGTCCCATCGTGGGATGTGTGTGTAGACTCAAGTGATAGTAGTATTAGCTCTGATGAGGATGGGGCGGTGGCAGCCAGACAGGAGGAGGAGAAGAAGAAGAAGGAAGAAAAGCCAAAACCAGCTAAGCGTGCAAGGGAAAGGTCACGGCCACAGCAACCAGAGGTGCGCGATACTATGTCATCTTCCGACATTTTATTAACATTTTATATTGTGTTCTTCCTGTTGTTAAGGGGCGGAGGGGGCACTGGTTAAGATGTTTGTGTTCATTATGTTTGTTTGTTTTGTAAATGATTATAAAAATCTTTGCAGTGTAAATGATATTAAAGGAGTTTTGTGTGTATATGTACATTCTTGTACTGTTCGTGATTCTTTCATATATGTTAAGTTGTTGTAGTGTAAAAAAGCTTTTGTATCTCTATATGTAATGTAAAACTAAGGAGTTCCAAAACTGAGCTGGACAATGTCACAATGTGGTAAAAAAATGTTTTCTTTTTTATCTTTTCTCTCCCCAGAGCTACCTGAAGATGCTCGTGCGTCTGTGCTACATGAGCATAAAGACAACGTCCAGCGTGGTTCGGAGAGTCCCGGGTGCGGCCATGATCATGGATCGGATGTCCCCACAGCTGTTTGGAGGTCTCGATGGCTTGATGGAGGCTTTGGTACTGGAGGTCATGTCTGACAGAGTGAGTTATGGGACGTCTGGGTGTCTTTTTGTCCTAGTCCTCCTTTGCCTCCTCTTCATCGTCTTCTTCTTCCATGCCCCCCCCCCCCCCCCCCCTTTCTCTTTATCCTCATCTATGTTGTCTTTCAGAATCCTGTTTTTCTTCTTACTTCTTCATTTGATTCATTTTACTTTATCTTTGAACCATCTCCTCTTTTTCCTTTGTCATCCTCCAGTTCCTCCTTGTTCTTCTTTTTCTCAGTTGTCTTCTTCCTTATTCTTCTTTAACCCTGTGTATCCCTGATTATTTTGGGCCATTGTCAAGGACAAAATGCAGACCTGTGCACACAGAGGTTTCCTACCTAATAAGCTACTGAAATGTAAAGACACAGTATGATGAGGATGAGTGACCATCTTGTAATTTTTTCAGGGTACAGTGCCCCTAAATTAAACTGTGTTCTTAAAAATACAGAGGGCAGTTTGTGAGTGTGCTGAAGTAGTCTCCTTGGTTCCTTTTACTTCTGTGTTGCTATTGTCCTATTATATCTCTTGGGAAAGTGAAATTGTTGTTTTGCCCACCTGGTGTGTGCTATAACTCCACGCTATCGATTCCAACACGTAAGTTTGGTTTCTACATCAACTTGTATGCTTGTCTGCCACTCCTCAGTACGCAGCAGTTGATGGTGGTTTCTCCGACAACATACCCTGCTTCGACAGTCACACAATCACCATTTGCCCCTTTTCTGGCGAGTCAGACATCTGTCCCCGCGACCTCACGGCCTTGGACTTCAACATTGACCTTGGCCGAACCAGCATGCATGCTAGCGAGGACAACATCTTCCGCCTGAACCATGCCCTCAGCCCAATGGATCCGGAAATGTTGTTGAAACTCTGTGAGGAAGGTTACAATGAGTGCCTGCGCTTTTTGCACCGCAAAGGTACACACTGCTTTATTCCTTTTGGAACGTGCCAGAGGGGTCTGTAATCTACGATGAGATACAAATGGGCATGGTACATAGTCGTATTAGAAATTTTGGATATATGTGCACAGTCGGAAGGGTGCACAACAATGAGAGTGCTTAGTAATGTAAAACGAATAAGTACCAAAACTGAGTTCAACAGTGCAGTAAAACTTCAGGGGGTGTTGAGGAGTTTTCAGTTTTCTTCTAGAGTTACTTGAAGATGCAGGACTTGCTGGAAATGGTGGTTTTATTTTCATCACTGGTGTTAAAAGTTGTTTTTTTCTCTTTAGCAGGTTCAATGCCCAGTTCTTTTAACACATGGAGAAATATCTGAAGCAATAAGCACATTCCATTACCTGGCATCATGCTGAAAGGTAATAACGTAGCTGGATCAATAGTGAAAATGTAGAACACATAGGTATAAAATTTGTTAAAATTAAAAACATGTTGCCTGCTTTTGACAATATATTAGTGTTGTGTTTGTGGATACCTGCATACTTTGTGTTATTCACAACTGCCTTCACATTCCACAGACTTATTGAGCTGTAAAAAACACTTAATGACCCGAGCGGCCATTTCGTCTTCACCCTGCAATATTGGCCACGCTCACTGCCAGTGCCCCCTGTGCAAGCGGGCTGACCCAAAGATTCGCACCTCCTTGTCCTGCATCGATTGCCACAAGACGAAACAGAAGGCACTGGTTTCACTTTTGCCAGAGGATGTCAGACGAGGTAAAATATCAGCTCAAAATGAGTTTCTTGTTGTATGAAGCTGTTTGGAGATAGGAGGCAAAACTTCGATTTTGTCAAAACTGTATGTTTCAGACTTCAAATGACTATCACTTAGAGGACTAAAGCAGCTCCACGGATTCTGTTTTCACCCACATGTTGGCCATGAACAGACTTGAATATGATGCCCCATAGTGTCATATTGTCAAAACGTGACATGTGACTCGTCTTGTTATGTTCCCATGAAAATTTTCTCGCCCAGAGATCGGCAATATTGTCTGTGACAATGGCATTGTACATTGAGGTGATCTAATTTTGTGGAAGCATTTATCACATTCAGTCCACATTTTTCCATGTATAGACAGCTCAGTAAGAAGATGTCTATTGAATACAATGCAGTCGAACCTGCCCTTACGGCCACCTTTAGAAGACAACCACCTGTACAAACGGCCACTTTCCATTTCCCCCCTTGCGTTTTTTCATATCATCTGTGTAAAACGGGCGCCTGTCCAACGCGGCCATGGCCACCATATTTTAACACACGACCCTTATCTCACCAAGCAATAACACCTGTCTTAGACGGCCACCTTAGTGACTCCATTACGTTTTGTCATAAATTGTGCATTGGCCCCTGGCGTTGTGGGCGAGCAGTCATAATCCAATCACTTGTCGTTGATAGGTAGTCCCTCCAACCGGTCATGTTGCGTAGGCCCCTCCCACTGTTGACCAATAGGTAACAAATTTTCTGCTGCAGGTGAGGTAAACATTTGATCCCTCATAACTCATAATCCCCGTCCAGAACTCGTACACAAATCGTAGTGAAATGAGTGGTAACTGTTTACCCTGTCTGTGACAAAGTAACAATGGACGTCAACATGAACTTTCGACAGAAGCGTCGCTTGTTCTCCTAGTGGTGCCGACTCATGTGTTTGTTTTACCATAGCACTCGGTCCTCCTTGTCTGACACATTTAGTTTTATTGTCACCCTTGCCCAAAAGCAGCAACAAAGGAAAAAAAAAAAGAAGAAAAAAGACCCCCTACGAAAACAACAATAATGCAGCTATCTTCGGTTGGAACCTCAGAAAGGAATGATTTGTTTTCTTCATTTTGATCAGTCCTGCTTAAGACATCTGTAATCTGCAATTTTTTTGGGGTACTTTTTATTTTAATCATGTCAAAGCTACTTCTTGATTGTAAATGACGTATATACCTGGCCTGTTGGTGAGGCTCTGGTAGATTTCCCTTCAGTACCACACTTCTGTTTTTATATGTTAGTCTTTTTTCTCCCCAGCAGAGAATTACTGTAGTCTTATCCATCTACTTTTCTTTAAAGGCTTCACTGCTGCTCGGCATATGACTGAAATAGCGTGAATTATAGCGTCACTGCACAGTCACTCTCTTTTCACAGTTCTAGCGTCTCACTCTAACTCCAACCTATGACTGATCACTCGCGATGTATCTCTCAACGTATCAAGCTATCGAAGAAATTTTTGCTGATGATGATAGTGGTTCATTCATGTCCCTTTAAAATGATATAGACATTGTTATGCATTTGGTGCATTACCACAGAGTAAATAGCACGTTTAAAGGATCACCAATTGAGTGCTATTCCTGGAAACAAGGTCAGCATAGGGCGGGGAATATAGGTCTGAAGTGAAGGGGTTGATTCACAACTGTCAGAGCATGTCCATTTGATTCTCATGCAAAGGATGTTGAAAGTTTTATTGCGTATCTCCATATATATGTCTGCCAGGATACTGTGTCTTACTCAGGCTTAGTTGGCCAGGTGTAAGACATTTACAGGTGGTTGCGATGAGTGCCACTTGTAGTCTTTCTTCTTTTCTTCCCCTCTGTTTGTAGTACTCTTTCACTGGACTAAATGACCATTGTTGTTTCAGTATGTTGTTTTTTCTCCAGCAGAGGGTAATACATTTACTTTCATTTACAGAGTTCAAGAAAGCAATAGAAGAGGAGAAGAAACAGAACAGCAGTGCCAATTCCAACTGGAACCGTTTGGTGGCTCTCCTGTGGTGGTGTGTGGAGAATATGTATGCCGGCACCATTCGCCTCGCAGATCTTGCCTTAGAGTGAGTTCATATTTAATGTATCAAAGAGGCACATACATATATAAGTCTAGGTGCATGCGCAGGCACATACATATATAAGTCTAGGTGCATGCACACATATTATATACACGCTCACTCTCACGAACAATACTTTACCAAACTGTATTGTAGAAATATATTGTTGCAAGTTATGTCGAAAGGTATTGACTCCTAAGTCTTTTTCTTTCCCTCTGTTGTTTCTGTATGCCTTTTTTGCTTTTGCCAGCAGTAAACGATGGATATTGAGTCAATGTGCTGTTTTTACTCAAAACTAAGTTTTCAGCCTTTCTTTTCAGAGAACTTGCCATTGGTGTAAAGATTGTTGATTTTAAGAATGAGTTACCATATCAGTGGATAGAAATAGATATCAAAGAATCTTTTGAGAAAAAAAGAATAATTAAAAGTGAAGTTCTGAATGTAATTGTGATGTGTGTGGTGTGGTACAGTTTTACTTTCTTTGGTTAAAAGGCACCCCTGTAAGTTTCTTTCTGTTCTCTTTCTTTCTGTTTCTTCTGTCTGTGTACAGTCAAAATTGTCAGAGATGACCACCCATCATTATAGAGAAAAGTGATTGTCTTAGATTCGAGGATGTCAGTGTCTTTTTTTATCATAATAGAGATAAAATGCAGGGTGGGAAGTGGCCGTTAGTACTGATATTGTCTTGAAAAGGTGACCATAAGAGCAGGTTCAATTGTATTTATCTCATTTCTTTTCTCTTGCACTGCTTTACTGAAAATCAAAAGCACCAAATAACCAGAATATGCAGATGACCACTCTTTACTCAAATTCTACTAATGTTTCTTTCCAGCTTCTACACATGGCTCATGAGATTCTGGGACAACCTCACCTGCTTGGCTTGCTATGTCATGATGCCCATGGGACAGAAGAGAAAAATGGTTCGGTTCCTCCTAGCATCTCTGAAAAATTCCATTAATGCCTCGTAAGTTTTTGTAGGAGTTTTCTTTTGCTTGACGTCAGGGGTGAAAGCCTGTTGTTTTGTAAAGTGGGGATCTGTTGTTACCAAATCTTTGAAAATGGATTAATATCATATGTGGTGCAATTGTTAGGTTCTTTACTTTTGTATTAGTTCATATTCCGGGATAGGGAAATTAATTTTGACCATCCCTGTCTTTCTATTGGAATCTTGCATCTCACACAGCCCCCGTGTTAGTTCTGAATAGGCAGAGTCAGAGTAGCCTTCCTCCTAAATGCGGAAATTGTGTCCATTGGGACTAATAGACATTTCCAATTTATCAGAAGATAGGTCTTCCATGTTGAAAAGTTACCTGATGTTCCTAATGGGTCTTCTTCGTCTTTCAGGGGGCCCCCTTTCTGATGTACAGGATCGATGTTGTTCTCGTCGTCCTGTGCTCATCTGAGTGTCTATCAGACATTTCCCGGCCTCTTTCGCGCTTTCCAATGTCACATGATCAAAGGGGCGCTACTCCCTTAATTATACTGTTCCATAATGATAATAAGAGTCATGTCCCCTGACATCACACCATGTATGTGTTTTTGTCAGGGTGGAGATCTGTATTAGGAGCACGAATACAGATGTGACTTTGTGTAAATGAGAGAAAAATTACATCGAATTCATAGGCTTTATGCAGCTCTGAATAATGGTATGGTTTTATTGACTGATCCTCCATTTTACTCAAATATAGCATGTTTCTCCAATGTTTTGTTTCTATTCCCCTTTCCAGGACACAGCAACGTGCACGTCGGGCATGCCTTGTACAGAGCGGCTCCACCATGTGCAGCTAGGACAATGAAAATTGATCAGCGTGGTCCTTCCTGGAACTCTTTATTTATATAGCGGACAGTTGTGACATGCCGTGGGAGAGGCTGGAATTCTTTTTCACCACGGGGCAGGACTGCCAGCTTCTGTGCATTCAGAAATCAGATCTTGAAGTCAAAAAGTTTTTTGGATAGCCAAGGGTACGGAAGCATCAGTTTCTGGATGATAATGTTAGAGGGAGTGGAAAGAACTGTTTTGTCCTGTTGCGGGAACTGGATGTGGTGTGTACATAAAATGGCGATTCTGTCGTCCTGTTCCTTAACAATGTTATTCCGGTGAAAGTCTACTCAAAATGTACATCATGCAGTATTTGTAGATAGCGTGGTCCCTGTAGCGTGGTCCCTGTAGCAGCAACCACACCAGTAGCAAGTCGCACAGAGGCATGCATCGTGAAGATCGACAGTTTTGCTCTGTAGACATCAGATAGCAATGTCGAAGTTTGAAGCATGCTTGGTAACTGATTGTGAATCTGAGCTTGTTGCACAGATATGTGCTGTTTTGTAAGATCTAAAGTGAGCCAACTCGTACACACACTCAATGCCATATGCATGCAAAATAAGAAACGCTCTCAAACACGCACAACCATATGCATACATACACAGACACTCTCCCACACAGTTGTAGGTTTGAGAACACTTACGGAAGAAAGCCTGTGGTTCGGCTGACTCTTCAGTTGACTTTAAATTTGGTTCTCTCAGTTCTGTTTGCAGTTGCCACTCCTGTACTAACCCTTACAGCACAGGGTTATATTTAGCACTCACTTCCCTCTGGCCAAGTAATACTGGAGTCTTTGACCCCACTGGCCAAACCAACACTAAGTGTACCCTGTTACATTTTGCGACTTTAACAATATTTCTTAACTTCTTTTGTTTGAAGTTTAAGCAGACAACATGTAGAACAATTTTTAGAGACTATTCGATAGATTATAAAGATACGTGACAGGGTTTGAGGTCACCAGCGTTTGGCTGGGCCTAGGAGAACAAGCACTTCTGAGGGAAAATATACTATGTAATACATGACTAGGTTTGTAAGGCTTAAGTTGAAGTGGCCATCTCTTGAGATATATAAGAAAAGAAACCCAAACCTTTAAAGTTTGCTTCACCAAAAGCTTAGGGTTGAGCATCAGTTTCATGTTTTTGTGTTCACTCTTGCAGAAACAGACATGTGTAAAGTAGCTCTCATGTTTCCTGTGCTAATAGGAGGTAATAGACAAAATAAGACCTTTCCCCCTGTCTCTTGCAATAAGCTGTTTTGGCCATTGCCCATTTTCTGAGGGAAACCATCAATAAAGATGAGTCTTCAGGTGTTAAATTGTGTGTATTGGCTCACTCTACCTCTCAGAAGTCTCAGGTGTCCATTTGTGATAGGTCTGAATCTGTGGAGCTATGCTTGGTATGGGAGCAATGTTAAGCATTGTGTTATAAAGCATTAACAGTGGGAGATGTCATTTGAGAGACTGATGAGCATTCTATTTTTTCTGAGGAAATTTAGTGTACAGTAGGGTCTGCCTAAACTGAAATCGGCGGCACAACCGGATTTTCTTTTGTATAGCTGATTTTCGGTTTAAAGAGGTTACTTAAACAAATTTTATTTCTTTTACGTTACCTTTGTTTTAGAATTTAACCCAGGTCAGTTTAAGTGGACTCCACAGTAAATGTATTTCTGAACAAAATTTTTATTGGAAAAGTATCCCAAATGCTTTCTGAATGAAATATTTGGTCATAACTGGTGTATTAACTGGATTGTTGGAATGTTTCTCCTTTAGATATTCCAAAAGAGCAGTGTGCTCAGCTATCGTGTTTCTAAAAGCACGTTGGTAGCATTGATTACTAGGACAACTAGTGAGAACAGCATCTAGCCAAATGTGCTGTAATGTCTTAAGATGAGCGAACTTAAGAGCTGGGTTTTTAAATCCCAAAATGTGTTGTTTTAGATAAGTCACCACTGATTGAAAAAACCCAAAATGAGGTCTTCCTCATCATGGCGTGAATGTGTGTGTGGTAGATGAAGAAACTTGTTGAGACTGTAGATGGATAAGCAAATATAAGCATAATAAAAAGTCAAGATTGCGAGTGTTTGGTTTGAAGGTGTCTTGATGTTTGAGAGTAATCTTAAGTAAGAAAGTGGTTCAGTTTTGAAAAAGTTTTTTTTCTTCTCGTTTTGTGTGGTACAAATTGCTTTCTGTGAAGTTGTATACCAGGGTTATCAGCAGACTCAATCGCACAGATGGGTTGGGGGGAGCTCAGATTACACTTTGGAAAACTAAACATTTTGTTAGCAATAAAATTAATGTAAATTAAATCAGTCAAAAGTTGATATAATAACAACTCAAGGTATATCAATTTTTACTCTTATGCCAATTTGTGAGTTGGATAAATGTCATCTTTTCCTGGCAACACCTTTGTCTATGTTCGGAGTATGAATCTGGTTTTTAGAAATTACCAGGATATAGGCCTACTATCTAAAAGTGTCTTGCAGGTTGGATATAAACAGGCTGGATATAATTATTTGCCAAGCTGGATGCGGCCAGGGGGCCTTGAGTTTGAAATGCTGCTGAAATGTAGGTTAGTGGTGAAACAGGCTCAAGTGCTGGTTGATCTGCACCATGGAAGTGCCTTTTGTCAGAGAATATGAACCATGATCTTTGATTTCTTTCGGCTTCCAACAGTGCGAAAAATGGATATGTGAAATGTGCTGACAAAATGAGTTACTTCTCAGATTTTAGCCTTATGGAAATTGATACATCAACATTTTAGGTGGAGTTTGTACAATTTGTAAATATATGGAATAATAAAAGACACAGTAGACTTGAACAAAATGGCATCAATTGGACACCCCGGTGTCGATTTTCGGCCGATATCTCCATTCATGGATTGCGAGAAGTACAGCTCATTTTGTCAGGCCTCACACATGTGTGTTGTTGTTGTGTGACTTTGTCCTGTTGTTGTCTGTAGGACTCGAATCACTGCTGCTGGCTGTTGTGTGTGAGCTGGTCACTGTGTCATTTTGATTCGAATACCACACAGATGCTGAAAACAATGCAAATATCACCGTCATCTAGCATCTCTTTTAATGATTTAATCATTTCATTCATCATATTTTCATGACTTGGGTCTATTTCTTTCATCTTTTTTCATTGCCATTCTTTTCCTCTTTTTTTTTTTGGTCTCATCCAGTGTCATCTTCTCATTATTTCACTTAATCTCTTCATTCATCTTGAGTGATTGTTGGATCCATTGGCTATTTGAAGAGGGTGCAAATTCTCTTGCTGAGTGTACAAACTCACATCATGAGCATCATGCAACATGTGGCAGATATTTTCTTCCCAAATGCTCATTTATACTTGGTCTTTAGTTTCTTGGTTTCATTGTGTGAACATCATGGTAAATGATGAATCATCACATTATCCCACATATTTGTTTTTTTGTAACATTTACCTAATGTTTTTTATGTCGTCATTTATCAGCTGCAATTTTGTTTTGTATCAGATCCATTTAGTGAAACTTAATGCAAGTTACTTTCACACTTGTAGCAGATATTTATTACATGTGTACTTTACTTTTTAGAGAACTTAAGTGTTGTATTTCTTTCTTTTCCAGTAGTTTGTTCTTGCGTTAAAAAAATTCAGTTTACCTTTTGTTATTTTTTTCCTAAATGTATCACTAAATATGTTAACGCTTTTAATAATTGTTGTTGGACCATGTACAGTCAAATCTGCCTTAACGGCAACCTGTGCAAGACGGAAACCTGTCTTATCGGAAACTACCCGCTCTCCCTTTAATAAATTCCTTTTTAATTACCAGCATAAAAGGGAAGCCTGTCCAATGCGGAAACGGAAAGAAAAATCCACTCCTTTCTGAGGGTTTTTTACCTTCTAAAACGGAAAATGCTTTCCCTGCTCAGTCCTGATTTGAAACAAAATTCTTAAATGTGACGTTTTAACCCCTTCTTGCCGACTGGCCAAGCGATCCTTGATCCCACCATTTGGGCTTTTGAACCCCCCTCCATCTCCCCCTAAATTCCTCTGGCTAAGACGAAATTTGTTTATGACTCCCTTGCGATTCCGTCTTGCACAGTTTCAAATGTACTTCCATCTCTCAGTGTTGACAGCTTCAATGTCAACCAGAGCAGATTATCATTATCATTAAAAATGGCGTTGAGATTTACTGTGCATAGCAATGCTGTTGTTTGAATAGGAAACCTAGTATCCAGCAAAGTCATATATATTGACGTTTATATATTGATACAATCTAAGATTAAAGAATATTTTAAAGTATTTTCAATCAATAAATAATGAATTAAAAAAAAAAAAATTGAACTGACCCAGTGTCTAATGCTCTAGGTTTTTCTTTCAAACTGCAGTATAGTAGGTAAGACTGCCTCTTTAATTCTAAAATGATTTGTATTGTCGTCTGGTTTGACAGTTATGTATTTAATATTTTTAATTGAACTAAATGTGAGAAGAGAAAAGGTGTGAATGAAGACTTTTCTTGTACAGTTGTAACTTCTCATTTATGACTGTTCTTGCAGCTTGATGCTCCGGTCATTGATAGATGTGTATATTCCGTCATGTACAGATGTTGTTCCAGTGTTACGGCTGGGTGTGCCTTATTGTTCGTGAGAGCCACCACTTCGTTCTACGGGTTTACCTCTGTGAATATTTTCTTTATAAAATAATCTGTTTGATTACACCGTGATATGTTGCCGTTTTGAAATTGAAAGGAATATATCTTTGAGAAATTATCAGGACATCTGTGGCTAGTGCTGCACTACTAGTCCTTAGTTGATCTTCTGTTGCCTTGTGGGCAACGATGCACGTATTTGTTCTCTCTGTCTTACGGCACCCTCAGGACCATAATAATGTTTCTAGTCCGTGACCCTACCAGAATAGTTGTCATGGTTGTTGTCTCATATTCATCGTTATGCTCACATCAGCTGTTGTCTTCGTTATAATTTTTTCGTCATCTCTCATCTTCATAGTTACTCTCCCATCATCTCTTTTGTCCTCGAATACTCTTATTGAGATCACAATCACTGGGTACGTTACTTACTCTCAAATGGATACATTTTCTCATATGTCACAGAAAGAAAACTTAAGTAATAAACTTAATGATGCAAGATCTGCAATTTTCTGTACAAATATCACTGCTGCATGGAAAAAAGTATCTCCAATGTTTTTAACTTTCCCTGGAAGGCAGGGTCAAATGGAGTTGCTTTTTTTTTTCTTGCTTTAGGAAGATATTTATATTCTGTTAACAACATGCCAAAGAGCTGTTTGTGATATCAGGACCCAGATCAAATGTTTTTCCTACTCAAGCAGGCAGACAATGTCGGTGACTTCCCCACTAGTGGACGATTTTGTCACCATCAAGATTCCATAATTTTCTTATGTATATATACTTATTTATATGTCACGTTGGGGTTTGTAGAATGAGGAGCATCTCGTAAACAGTAATAGACAGTTATGGTGAAATCACCAAAAACAATTTTTTAAAATAAAAAGATCTTAAATAAACAGAATTAAAGAAAAAGATAATTGTTTTGGACCTTACCTGAACAGGTAGATACAGATCTGATTGGCATTTACTGTCCATGGTATAAAACCACCTCTGTTGCAGCCTAGACTGTAAAAGCAACCCTTCTATTGAGCTTGTGTCTTTGGCCAACTGATGGATTTGATAAATGGTAGGAGATTGTGAGCGAGTGTTAAAGGGTGCCTCTGGTAGGTTTTATTTCCCTTCTTTCGTTCTATTATTTCTGCCTTTCTATCTTGCTTTTTTCTTTCACAAAATGCCTGTTACATCGAAGTGTCTCTTCTCTCAAATGAGCAAATATATGACAATTGTTTGCTTATTGCACTACTGCCAGACAAATAAAATAGAATAGGGGTCTTGTTTGCACGACCAGGAGAAGATATTGGGTGTTTTGGTGTGTCTCCTAATGATGGGGGAAGCACCGTGTTCACCAATATGCCAGTGTTGTCTTTATAGTGTGACTATTACTTTTCCGTCAAATTTCTTGTACTAAGCACACTTATTGTTCAAATTCTCAATTTTCACACTTTCAGTCTTGCCTCATGTGAGCTGAACAAGATATTTATTTGTGAATTAATTATACTACTTTTTTAAAAGCATGTCCATATTTATTTTACTTCCATTTGCATAATGTGTTATTAAATTGGATATTCATATATTTTTTGCCTATTAAGATTTTTAAAATTTATCTATTGAGGGGAAGGGAAATGGGGGAATCTTTTCTTGAAACAGCATTGTTGTGTGGAGATTAGATTTTTTCATCATTAGCTAGAAACCCGGTATATTCAGGGCATTCTGTGACTGTTGCTTTTCCTTTAAATCTGATCTTATAATATTATTAACTTATCTCTCCTGTTAACCCCCTTGTGGTGAAATGTAGGAGTTGTCAATGTGACCTACAGAACACTACTGCCTTATGACAACACCTGTAGCTTTGTAGGACTGCCAGTTTTCCTCACGTTCTATCTCGTGCTTGTTTTTGTATCTATCTGCGTTTTCACACATTCATTACTCACCCCTTCCCTACACTCTGATTGGGTTTGTGTCTTCTTTTCCCCTCTATCTATATCATCTGTCCTTATCTCTCCTTCTCTTCTATCTACGATACTCTCAAGTAGCACCTCTAATCTTTGGCATTTGTATGTGACCTGTCTGCGTTGCAAGTGCTGTAAAACTTTTATTAAAATTTAATACATCCATCACTTAATCCTCCCCTACACAAACCTATGCTAACTTGATGTTTGCTAGTACTTGTAGTGTCTTGGCTTTATAGTCTACCCCTCAGTGGGCCAGAGTTCTACTCCCGGAGTGGAAGACTGTGTGTTCACCCGAGGGTTCAGTGTCAAATGTTTTGCTCTGTGAATGTTGGTTCTGTGTTGGAAGTGCTTGACCTTGTCAGTTCATGAATAAACAAATACGTGTACTATATAAGTACTTGTACTTTGTGTGGATATTTTGATGTTCTGTGTTCTTTGTGTGCTGTGCTTTGTTAATGAAGTCAGTCAATTTTACACTGGCATCTGTTGTATAGTGGTAAGGCATTTTGCTGTTACTCCCGAACATTTGATTTCGATTCCTGTGTGGGGAGAATTTTTTATCAAGTGTAGTGGCTCAGGTCTTTCTGCCGCCCGGGTTGGCCCTGACAGGCAGGGTTGAAACCGCCCACCTCCTGAATGATCTAAATCAGTGCTCACCAAGGTGTGGTGGGTTTGGAAATTCTGGTGGGCTGTGGAGATCATCTCGGTAGTGACAAGTGTTATTTATTGTCCCACTTGCTCGCGTAGGTGGGCAGTATGATGTTGGCCTCCTGAACGTGGCAGAGCCGGAGGTGGCTGTGAAAAGGTTAACGAGCACTAACCTAAATTGTGTCCACTGAGGCATAAATCTACTTCTTAACGGGAGGAGCTACCCTTGAGGACCATTTTCTATGTTTGTTGCCCGAGATCAAATCTAAGTACACATATAAGCTAGAC